ATCCGCAGTTCTTTTGATTTTTATTTAGTATTTTTCCTTTGGCTAGGAGTCCTATTTTAAAAATAAGAGGGCATCAATTTAAAAGAGAGGAGGAAGCACTTTTTCTCTTAGATGACTGAATCTTTGGCACTTCCTTCCTCAAACAGCAGCGGATGTAGAATTTTTAAGGCAGATGCAGAGAGAGATTCTTGATTACCAAGGGGATTAAAGATTTTCAGGGACACGCAGAGACGTAGAGTTGAGGTTAAAATCAGATCAGCCATGATCTTCTTGAGTGGCAAAGCAGACTCAAAGGGCTGAGTGGCTTATTCTTGTTCGTTGATTATATGAACGGTTGAGGGCTATAACACTGATCCTTGAGGGACACCACTAGTCCTATCCTAATTATATCACCTGCACTTTATCCTAGACTGTGCTGCTCAATTTCCTAAATGGGTCAATCCTCCAATGCCATCTTGAGCTTGAACTTTAATCAGCAGTATGTAAGACCTTATATCTCACACATTCACGAGGGGCTTTATCAAATGCCTTCTGGAAGCTCAAATAACTTTGCTGACAGGGAATTCACTCCACTGCTTGACATCTTGTGGGGTGACTTAGAGTTTTTTTTAGATTAACTTGTGGGACACGGGTGTTGCTGCCTGGGCCCAGCATTTATTGCCACCCTTAGTTGCCTTTGAGAAGGTGGTGGTGAGCTACCTTCTTCAAATGCTGGAGTTCATGTGCTGTTGGTACATGATGATGTTGTTAAGGAGGAAATTCCAGGATTTTGACCGAGCAACAGTGAAGCAATAGTGACATATTTTCAAGTCAGGATAGTGAGCGGCTTAGAGGGGAACTTGAAGGTAGTGGCGTGTCCATTTATTTGCTGCCCTTCTAGATGGATGTGGTCGTCAGTTTGGAAACTGATGTCTCAGGATCTTTGGCAAATTTCTACGGCGCATCTTGTAGATAGTATACTTTGCTGCTACAGTGCATCTGTGGTAGAGGGATTAGATGGTTATGGATGCCAATCAAGCGGACTGCTCTGTTCTGGATGGCGTCAAGCTTCTTGAGTGTTGTTGGAGCTGCAGTTGCCCAGGCGAAGTGGGGAGTATTCCATCACATTCCTGAGAAAGCAACTCCCTGCACAAGTACAAGAACAAAAGGAAAGGAAGTTAATTTCTGAACACCCAGCATCCGCCAGGCCATGATGGGCTCTAGAACACGGTACTTCCTAATAGACCTGTTTGGAGATGTCGTTACGCATCTGCGGAGCAGGTGGGACTTGAAGCAGGTACCTCTAGGCTCAGAGGTAGGGGCACTACCACTGCACACAAGAGCCATTCAAATTTTACCTGCACATTTCCACCCTCAGGCGACTGTGCGTGTTTGCACATTCTCCCCGTGTCTGCATGTGGGTTTCCTCCACGTGCTCCAGTTTCCTCCCACAGTCCAAAGATGTGCAGCAAGGTGGATTGACTGCGCTAAATTGCCCGCAGCGTCCAGGAACGTTTAGGTTAGGTGGGTTAGACATGGGAAATGCAGGGGTAGGGGAGTGGGTCTGGGTGGGATGCTCTTTGAAGGGGCTGTGTGACTTGGTGGGCCGAATGGCCTGTTTCCACACTGCAGGGATTCTATGATTCACCGTGAATGGGATCCAACTTTGTGTCCCTCAGAACATTACTTCTGTAGAAGAGTCCTACTGGAATAAAATCGTTGTCTCTCTCTCTGGTGGCAGAGTTTCTTCCAGCAATTTCTGTCTATAGTTCCCCACAACACTGGGTTATAGTTAGGGTTCTGGATCACCAGTCCAACTGTACTACTACAGTTTCATCCAGACACTGCGAAACAAGTGGCCTCCACCAAGGCGCATGCGCGCTGACCAAACGGTCAACTTTCCATCCAACTCTTTACTGAGCGATTGCGCCCTTCCTTTGTATTTAAATTTTATTTTAACCAGAGACGCAATGCCGCCCGTGTGTGGTTAGGTTTTTTTTTCTCGCTTCATTTTAAACGGTACCTTTTTTGGGGGGGGGGGGCGGTGGGTGGATGGGGAAGGAACAGTGTGGGTAGGAGGGACTGGTTGCTGGGGTGAAAGGTCGTTACCCAGGCTGCCCGCTCTCTTTGGCGCGAGTATTTTTCTTTCCCGCGGGTTCGCGCGAGCGGCTTGTCTCGGGCAGTGCGGAGTTTTCGCGAATATTCCTTCAGCTGGCGGGAGGTGGAGGGAAACGGCGGATTCAACGACCAAGGGATCGTCCATACGGAGTGTGCGAGACGGACGATGTGCGGGTAGAGGAGGCCAGGCCGGCGGTAAGAGAGAGAGAGAGAGAGAGAGAGAGAATGTGTGTGTGTAATAGGCAGAGAGACACAGGCCCTGCTGTCACCCCTACACTACTCACCCTGACCTATCCTTCCCTCCCCTTCCCGCCCCGCATCCCCATCTTTTGCCCCGCATCCCCATCTTT